TGGCACAGTGGTTAAAGTGCTCAGCTGCTAATTGGAAGGTCAGCAGTTCGAACCACTAGCCATTCTGCGGGAGAAAGATGTAGCAGTTTGCTTCTGTAAAGGTTTACAGCCTTGGGAACCCTATGGGGCAGATCTACTCTGTCCTATACGGTCACTATGAGCTGGAATTGACTTAACAGCAATGGATATCCCTTAGTTAAAAGGAGCCCTGGTGGCGCAGTGGTTAAGAGCCTGGCTGCTAACCGAAAGTTTGGTGGTTGGAACCTACTAGCCATTCCACGGGAGGAAGATGTGGCAGTCTACTTCTGTAAAGATTTACAGCCTTGGAAACCCTGTGGAACAGTTCTGCTCTGTCCTACAGTGTTGGTATGAGTTAGAATCGACTTGATGGCAATGGGTCTTTGGTCTGATCTCCTGGTTGGATAGCACAAACGGTTAGGTGCTGGCTACTAGCAGAAAGGTTGATGGTTTGAACCTACCCAGAGATACCTCAGAAGATAAGGCTGGTAATCTGCTTCAAGGTCACAGCCTTGAAAACCCTATGGGGCAGTTCTACTCTGCACATGTGGGGTCGCCATGAGTCGAAACTGACTTGACGGCAACTAACAAGAGTAATAATCCGTTGGGTAAGTATCCAAGCACCTCAGATTAACTCACGCACTATTGTTCTTTACTTTGTTGGCACAGTTTATTTTCTTCCCATTTTGAATAAGAGAATATCTTCAGTGATAGCCTAACTTTTCTTGTTGGTTTCAGTGCCATATGTTTAATACTTGATATCTACCCATTCAGGTAACACGTATTTATTGAGTAGCTACAATGTGCCAGACATTGCCCAAGGCACTGAGGCTGTAACTTTATATAAGTATGGCCCTTTCACGGAACCAACAAGCTAGTGGGATCAGAGAATCTTCACCTTGCTATTCTTTCAGAGAGGAAAAGTAACTTTAATTATCCACTGCCATGCAGAAGACCAAAGTGAAGAATGTGGTCCTAAAAGAATTGAATAGTAAAGACTGTTCCCATTGTTGCCTAGAGGTAATCAAATTTTGAGGTTTTTTGTTTATCAATTTTACTGTCTTACTAGTCATTCACAGCTGGCATCTTAGAGATTGAGTTACATAGATTATAGCTAAATATCTAATGTTCTTTAGAATGTTGAACCATCAGAACCTGTAAGAAATGTTTTTGAAGTTGCTTGTGAGAACGAGGGGGTCAAAAGACCTAAGACACATGGCCACTCTCAAAGAGCAGAATCGTCCTTCCCTCCTGAACCCTTAAGTTGGAGAACCAAAAGAGGTACAAAGGCATTTTGCAGCCCTGGGCCCCTTAGATTAAAGATTAATTAGTTCACAGTCTGTTGATGTCAACCTAGTGTTTGAGACATTGAGCCTTGTATTGGTGAGGGATGGCTCTGATGTGGTGTGTCAGCAATAGACTTAGCAAGTACACAGGGTAGTAATTTGTGGCAAATGAAATTTTGCTGGCTTCAAAAAATTATCTATTGTTGGGGTGCAGAACTCAAATTCTAGTAAAAAGACCAGACTTAATGGTCTGACTGAGACTGGAGGAACCCCAGAAAGCATGGCCCCCGGAGTCTCTGTCAACGCAGAACTAAAACCATTCCCGAGGCCAACTCTTCAGACAAAGATTAGACTGGACTATGGGACGTAAAATGATACTCGTGAAGAGTATGCCTCTTAGCTCAAGTAGCTACATGAGACTAAATGGGCAGCTTCTGTCCAGAGGTGCGATGAGAAGGCAGAGAGGGTTAGGAGCTGGCTGAATGGACACGGGAAATCCGGGGTGGAAAGGAGGAGTGTGCTGTCACAGTATAGGGAGAGCAATTAGGTCACATAACAATGTATGTATAAATTTTTGTATGAGTTACTAATTTGAATTGTAACCTTTCACTTAAACTACAATAAAAAAATTAAAAATAAAAAAAAATTATCTGTTGTTAGACTCAACAGGGATCCAGACAGAGACTGGAGAGTCAGCCTTGGCTATAGATTGGACAATACCATTGCACGTCCTGGTACCAAAGGTCTTTTAGCACCTAACTGGAAACAGCTTCATCTCCAAGACAGCTCCAAACTACCAACGGGGCTCAGCATGTGGGATTTCCCTTCACTTCTAAATTTTCTGGACTATATCCATTCAATAACAAAGGATCCTTGCATTGTTCTATAGAGGGTCAGCGAAAGAGAAGAAGACTCTTAATGGGATGGATTGACACAGTGGCTGCAACAATGGGCTCAAGCATAGCAATGATTGTGAGGACAGCGCAAGACCAGGCAGAGTTTCGTTCTGTTGTATATAGGGTCACTATGAGTCAGAGCCAACTTGACGCATCTAACAACAACAATCGCTCTATAACTACTATAAACTTCTGCTTATCCAGCCCCTCATACTCCTGAAATAAGAAAAAGAAAAATGAACCCATTGGCAAAAGTCTCAAAAATAATAAACTACTGAAAAGTTTTGTTTTAATAAGCTCAACTTTTATGATGGCCAGTTTTTTCCTACAAATGGAACTGTCATTGGTTTCTTTGGCTTTGATACAAGGATTTGCTTGGAATGCATTGGTGATAGCAAATGGACTTTTTTTTTAGGACCCCAGGATAATCAGGGAAAGAAAGAACATTAATCAAAAGGATTTTGAATGTACTGTATTCTCTCCTCATATCTGTGTTTTTCATGTGACAGAAGGAAACTAAGGATGCACAATAACTCCCAGTTGTCAGGTTATCGAGGTATGCTAATTCAGTCTGTGTAACGACATGAGTTTTAAAACTGGTGGAAAGAATAAGACAGACCTGGGTTTGAATCTGGCTCCAAATTCTCCATCATTTAATATTTTTGTGATCTTGGTCAGATTATTTAACCTCCTTGAATCTCATTTAATGGAGGTCATTTTCTACCTCATAGGGTTATCGAGAGAGTTAAATGAGATTTAGCACAGTACCTGGCATGTTGAAGGCCCTCAATGGACACCATTTCCCCTTCCACCTCCCTTTCCCATCTCCCTGTAGCCACATTTATGAGATGACTGTTCCTTCTGTGAGGTGGCTACTAGGTCTCAGCATTTCCAGATCTCTGCTGATTTAAGAGTCCAACTGTGCTGATATTACTTACACAACTGGCAGCTGGGGACTGATGAGATAACAAGGATGAGTCATTTAAGAGCATTCCTTAACAATGTCATCTTGCCTCAGAGAGAGCTGAGTTTTCCTCACTGATGTTGGAGAATGGTGGGAGAGACTACCCTGGGGCTCAGGCAGTCCTAATAGGTGTTCTCATAATATCAAGATCCTTCACAGAGAAGATTCAGAACTCCCTTAAGTGACATTAATCAGGGGATAGCAGCTTGGGAGTCCCTGGGTGGTTACGCACTTGACTTGGTACGTTCGAAAAGTCACAGCCATTGAAAACTGTGTGAAGCACAGTTTTACTCTGATATCCATAGGGTCACCATGAGTTGAAATCGACTTGAAGGCAATTGGTTTGTTTGTTTGAAGTTTGGGCTTTGAAATATGACAAAACTGGGTTTTAATCCTGATTGCTACTCACTAGCTGAGTAGTCTCTCAAAGTGTCTGTATTCTCTCAGAGTTCATGTGAGGATTAAGTGAGGCAAAGTACATAAAGCACCTAAGACATCGACTCAAAAAAAAAAAACCAAACGCGTTGCCGTCGAGTCAATTCCAACTCATAGCAACCCTATTGGACAGGGTAAACTGCCCCATAGGGTTTCCAAGGAGCAGCTGGTAGATTTGAACTGCCAACCTTTTGGTCAGCAGCCCAGCTCTTAACCACTGCACCACCAGGGCTCCAGACATCAACTAGCACACCGTAAATGCTCAATGAAACTCAGTTATTTTCTTTCTTTCCCTTTCCCTCCCTCTTGTCTAGACCAGAGTTCACCTGTCAGCAGTTAGCACATTAACAAAGATGTTGCTCCTTGTACTTTTACCATGTTCTCATTTCTATTGAACTCCTCTATTCCACCCATACACACCCCACCTAACATAAATTCATCCTTTGATCATTATTTTGTGAAGTTTATCTTCACCTACTTGAAAGAAACTATAATTCTTGCTCATTATGAAACCTCAAAGCATAGCTAAATAAATAGCTGTTGATTGATCATGATGATAATACACTTTATTAAAAAGCTGTCTAATTTCATGCCATTATTCCTAAATTCTATAACTAACCAAAATAGTTTACCTCAGTAAACTTGGTTAAAAAAAAAAAAAAGCTAAAAATGTCTCTATCAAAATATGCATGTTAATCATAGTGATCTGAATATTCATTGTGGAACCTGAAGTTGCTTTATTAGCATGAGGTTAGAGGTTCAGAAAACACCACCTTGGAGGATCAGTTAACATTTATCAAATGCTCACTGAATTACTGCCCTTTATTGATAAATTTCAGCTTCATAATTTTAGTGAGAGAGCTTCCCATTCCTTTTTTCCTGTAAGAATCTCTTTAGATTCTTCATGCTCTTGGAGAAACAGTTATGTCTGATAATATATGTGTAATTAGCTCCTTTATATTACCAGTGTATCAAGGAGACATTCAGATTCACATTATACACAAGTTCACTATTAGTTTCCTAAGTTAGGTGGTACCTATTCTGATATAACTAGTAAAGAGTGCATAAACATATGCATAAATTCTGGCTAATGACTCCAGTTAAATATACTTCAAAGAACGTTTGATCTTATTAAAATTTGCATACATTTTTCTTTCAAGGGAGTTATTATTCTGCATTATAGCATGTGTTTTTATCACAGGCTTAGAATTCATTGATGAGTAGTGTTGGAGCTGCAAATCAAGTCAACAGCTTAATTAACTCAGCAGCATTTTAGGAAGCTTTCCTCCCTCTGTGAGCATAGGTTCAAAGATGAGTTTAGGGCCCTGAGCTCCCTTCCTGGGTCCCTCCGACCACCCAGCTCCGAGTGGGGCTCCCCGGTGGAGAGAGGTCCTTCCTTACCTGAGACCCTCGCCCTCAGGAGAGTGCTGTCTGCAGTACTCCAGAGTGTAGGTCTCCGTGGCCTCCGGGTTGGCAGGCCGCCATCGGACAGTGGCTGTGTTCCAACACACGGTGCAGTCCTCGGTGCGGATTACAGGGGTAGAGGGTGCTGCAGAGAGAGAACCAAGTCAGTAGCTGGTAGAGCAATGCCAGCTCTCCTTCCCTGGTACCCTGGGAAGAACGATTGGTCATGATTTTAATTTAAATTTTAATTAGAATATACTCTGGGTTGAAAATCCCAAAGGTATAAAAATTCATGCAGTGAACAGTCTCCCTCCCACCCCTGCCTTCCACCTTGCCCAATCCTCACCCATCCCTAAACAGCCTCTAATATTAGCTCCCTATAAATCTTACCAGAGTTTCTTCATACACATGCAACAAATAAAAATAAAGATTCCTATCCCCCCACCTTTTACCCAAAAGGTAGCAACGATCTTGCCCTAAGTAGGTGTTCAATAAATATCTGTTTAAAAAGGGAAGAAAGAAGGAAAGAAGGAAGGACAAATGGTAGGAATGAGCCGTAGAAACTCACTTCCTTTGAGGCAGTTGCAATTATCTAAAAGGTGATGCAGCCTTGGCTTATGCTACACCTTTTGCTTCAGTCTGTGAAAAGACTGTATCATGGGAGTGCATCCCCAGCTGAATATCTTTGCTTAAAATCTTTTGGAGGCTCCCATAACCCATATAATGAAGCCTGAGCTTACCTTAGGAGTCTTCAGATAGTGCAAATGGTTAAGCATTCAACTACTAACTGAAAGGCTGACAGTTCGAACATACCCAGAGGCACCTTGGAAGAAAGACCTAGTGATCTGCTTCCAAAAGGTCACAGTCCTGAAAACCTTATGGAGCAGTTCTACTCTGCACACGTGATCACCATAAGCCAGAGTCAACTCAAGTCAATTGGTTTTTTTGTTTGTTTGTTTTTTTGAGCTTCCTATCTTAACATACATGGCCTCTATGCTCTACCCTTTCTCATCTCATGTCTTTCTTCTTGTTTTTAAGTCAAAGAAATACTACCTGCACACTCCATGCTATTTCTTACCTCCATGACTCTGCTTATATGTCTTCTTCAAGTGGAACACCCTCCATTAACATGTTAATTCCTACTGATCCTTTAAAAGATTTAATTCATACATCAGTTCTAGAAAGCCATCCCTGGGCCATGCCCCTGCCCCGGTATTGCGGGTGTCCCTCTGCACTGCTCTGATAATAACCTATGCATATTTGGATCATTGCCCTTACCACAAATTTTCCATGATCTTCTGTTTGTCTGTCTCCCCAACTTGACTATGAGCTTCTTGAGAACAAGAATCCAGTCTTAATCATTGTTGTAGCCCTGGCACTTTACAGAACACCCAGCACAAGACAGGTGCTTAATAAATGCTTATTGGTTGATCTCAAGAGTCTGTGAAGGATTGAATATTGTCTCCTAACACCCCCTTACCTGTCCTAAAAATTGCCCTTTCACTGGGAAGGCTACATCCAGTGAAGTTCACAGCCATGACCCATACTTGGTAACATCGGTCAGGTTCCAAATCTTCAAAAATGCAGTAGCTTTCTTTCACTGTCACTCTGTATTCTTCCACCAATTCTAGCATAAAACACAATCATAAACTGTAAGGTGTCTCCCAAAGTCAATTGAAAGTTATAGTTTCTGGAGAAAAAGTGGTCTATAACTTATTTCAGTGGAATACTCAAGCTGATAAACTCTTACAGATAACATTATGTGATAGCTAGCAATTCAGAATGAATAAAAAAGCAATAGCATTCTGAAAAGGAATATGTGGATGACATAGTATTACTCGTGAACACTTAAAAGAAAATAATAGCATATTAGTAAAATTCTAAGCTTCATATACCACAATTAAAGTAACTTATTCCAATAGCAAATATTAAAATTGCATAGAGTTTGCATTAGCTTAAATTTCAGTAATACATCCTCAAGAAAATTCTTAAGAAGCAATCCCAATATTTCAGGAGAATATGTCATAAAATAAGGACAACCTCGTGTTTTCTAAACTGACGTTGTTCCAAACTATTTTTACAGATTAATAAACAATTTTAATACTCAGTATGACTTTCCAGGAGTCCCTGGGTGGCACAAACGGTTAAGCACTCGGCTATTAACCAAAAGGTTGGTGGTTCAAACCCACCCAGAGGCACCTTGGAAGAAAGGCCTTGTGATCTGCTTCCAAAAGGTCACAGCCACAAAAACCCTGTGGAGCACAGTGCTAGTCTGAAGCACACGCGGTTGCCATGAGTTGGAGCTGACTTGATGGCAACTGGTTTTTCTAAGTTTCAACTCATGAATTACTGAATTCTTTCAACTAGAGACTTCCACAGTTTATAGAAATACTTAAATAAATGTGATAGGTCATAACCTACTTTCTGTTTAAGTAATTTTTTTTTAATCAAGTAACTGTCCTTTTTAAATTTCTTAAATTATTTTACCTTCCGTATTTTAGGAGTAAATGTTACTCAATACCATTCTGAACACATGGCCCTTTGGGCCAATCTGATTTTCTTACTGAAATTTTGTCTCCTGTAAAAGAATTATTTTCTTTATTAAATCAGTTCCTGTGGTCATTTCAGTTATCTTCCCTTATTATTCTTGAATATTACAACCTCAAAATTCCTTCAGTTAAGAAGCCCAGATTGTTTCCTTTTAAAGGAAACTTAGCAGCTCTGTGGCTTAGCATGGTCTATTCAATTGCCTCTCTCTTTCCCAATGAGCTATACTTTCTGGATAAAACGTTCAGTTTAAAAAATGTCATAGGGTCTTGACACAGAAGAATCTCTTCTCCATAGCCAAGAAACTGCGACTGTAGTTTTCAGCAGAATCATTCCTATCAGCTAAGTCCTAGCACCCCAGCACTTCTTTGATCAATGCGTATAACACAACATATGTTCCTAGAGACCTATGACACAGTAGCAGAGTATCACCAGAGTATCACACTGTAGATCATCAGATTAGTTAACTGATACTCAGCAGAATTCAAGCTACTGAAAGAGTGAGACACGGGGTTGGGGTGGTGGGTTGATGCATAAAAAAAGGACTACAGACAATAAACAGGTTGTTAAAGAGGTCTTGGACAGCCATGAAGTTTCATCATATAGCTGGGGTAAATAAGAAAGATACAGAAGAGATGCATAGAGCAAAGACACGTGTAGTGTAACAAAACAAACACACAAAAAATGAGCTTTGGAGTCTGAAAGATCTGTGTTTGAATCCTGCCCCTGTTATGTACAGGCTGTGTGGCCTTGGCAAACTACTTAATCTCACATCAATTTTCTCATCTGTAAAACGGGACTAATGACATTTATCTCCTTGTGTTGTGAGAGACATATGGCAATAGGTCCTCAATAAAATAGGAGTGGCACAGTGGTTAAGTGCTCGGCTGCTAACCAAAAGATCCAGCCAGCTGCTCCTCAGCAGAAAGATGTGGCAGTCTGCTTCCGCAGATTTACAGCCTTGGAAACCCTATGGTTCTACTCTGGCCTACAGGGTCTCTATAAGTCAGAATTGACTCGATCGCAATGGGTAAGTTGGTTAGTAGTTTATAGATAAATTTAGTCAACTTTACACTATGCCTAAAGTTTTGTTGTTGTTTTTTTTTAACTTTTTTCTAATCTAAGTAAGTATCACATGACATCTCAAAAGACTTAAATACCAGTAATAGTGTAATAGTGAAATATATTACCATTCATCCCCATTACATATTAGGCTCCTGAGTTTTGTAATAGGATGTCAATCCTGCCGCATGCTCATGTGGTTTCCAAAGTATATGTGTCTGTCTTCAACAAACAACACAAAATGCCAGCACTTCCAGCTCTGATTCATCAGGAAGTACAACCTCAAACTGCTGGGCTGCTATGTCCTATTATAGGTACTACTGAACAGAGAGACATTTACAGAGGCTCAACTATAAAACATGCCATCAATTCACCCTGCCAAGAAGCACTTTCACATCTATCCACGTGTTAAGTTGGGACATCAAAGACCACACCAAACCTAGGCCCATGCCTTGAGAACTGCAAACACTGAATTCACTTTTATGGTTTGCTTGTAGCTTTTAACATAGGTGGATCTGAGAAACTGCCAATCATGAGAACCAATGCTGCATTTACATTAAAATTATTGTGGAGAACACCGTCCTTTAAATAGCTCATTTCCCCTCTACAAGTGGAACACATTAAATTTTTCTTTTAGACTTCAGTGTTGGTTAAAACTGTGTTCTCCCTGAAACTCTAGTTAATATGCTATCCCTTTCTGAAAATGAGAATCATTTAATTGCTCTTGTTATCCTGAGAGCTCAAAGCTAAATGTGAATCTCAGTTACAATAAACATGTTGACAATTATGATGATATTTATGCATTTTTGTTTTCCTTGATTCTGATTTCCAAATTTTGCTTGTATGTTATTTCATCATGCGTGGGTTGTTTTTGTTTGTTTTTGTTTGGTAAGTGCCTATAAATGCTTAATGGAAACACTTATAATATGTATATGTTTAAATACTTCACAGTAAGATGCAGAAATATATGCATGCACATCTATTTTTGTGTCTATTACAAATTACTATCCTACCGTTTACTTCTTGATCATCTTGTGGCTCCTCCATGCAGTAAACCTGGAATGAGTCTACGACATCTTCCTTGTTCATGCTCCAATAAACTGCAATCGTTGTGCAAGTGGCGGAATTTGGTTCCTGAGGTTCTAATCTAGGAGGTTGTGGAACTGGAATATAAGCAAGGTTTGTTACAAGAATGTTCTTTTTACTTACTGATTTTTTTTTAAAAGTCACTTATGCTTGTTGACAAAAAAAATTAAATAATCAGAAATACATGGAGTAAAAGGTGGGAGAGCTTCATTGACCCCAACATTCCTCAACTTCATTTCTATTCCTTGGAGGCAACTGCTGTTATGTTTGAGTGTGTATCCCTCCAGAATACTTTCTATGCATTTGTACATGTGCACAAATAATACACATAGAAATAAATGAGCACTGATCCCAAAATGAGATCAATTGATAATACTCTTCTGTGATTCTATATTTAGAGCAATAAACTTACACAGGTTAGAGGATGCACCAAATAAATTAGTTTTCCTTCAAAACACAAACTTGAGTATGTTTTGCTAGATAACCAATGGTGTCTCCTTATATATCAATAGAGTCTATAATCACAACAGAGACAAATGAAATCCTTTTTAGATGTAGTTACTATCCTTCAAGGCTAAAAATGCTTCCATGAATAAAATACCAAAATATACTTTCTGGATCTACTATCCATTTCTTCTTCTAAATGACTATACTTACAGATAATTTTTTAATTTATGTAAAAATTACATAGGAGGTAAAGTGTCCTATTGACTGATTCAAATGTAGTTTAACTAATTTAAAACATATAGTCTACCTCTGGAAACACTGCTGGTGTAGTGGTTAAGAGCTGTGGCTGCTAACCAAAAGGTTGGCAGTTCAAATTCACCAGGTGCTCCTTGGAAATTCTATGGGGCAGTGCTACCGTGTCCTTTAGGTCACTATGAGTCAGAAGGAACTCGACAGCAATGGGTTTGGTTTTTTTTTTTTTTTTTGGTTTAGTCTAGCTCTGTTGCTCTGAATTTTAAAGACAACAATATTCTCCAGTGTTTTACTAGAGATTTTAGAAGTTTATAATTACGCTTATTGAATACTAATGTTACATTCAACACCATAAATCAGTTCCTATACAATCCTCCTCTAAAATTTATAAGACACAAAATCACTGAACATATTGTACAAATTAGAGGAAAAGGTTATTCCCATAGTTGAAAAGATGGCATGCTTTTAAATTTATTTTTGTGCTCATTTTTTTCTAGTCAACAATTTTTTGAGAGATAAGCTCACTGAAATAATATGGGCCAAATTTTATTAGATCAGTTTATTAAAAGTTGACACTGAAGGAAAAGAAAACAAAGTTTAGTTCAACCAGAAGATAAAAACAAGAAAAAATAAATAGGTGCAAAGAATGGAACAAAATGAGACAAATTGAAAAGATTCAATAAAGAGATAAAGAGCTGAAGAAATATACAAAGTTATGAAAAATGAGAAGCAGGCTAGAGAGAGGTCAAGTTCATGGGCTTCAGAGCAGAGAAGTTGGTCTAAGATTAAATCCCAGATGCCTCACTTACTAGTGGTATTATCTTCGCCTCAGTTTCCCCATCTTTAAAAATAGAAAACAACACAAACTCACAGGGTTGTTGTAGGAAGCAAGATAATGTGCATCAAGTACTTAGCAAAGTGCCCAACACACAATCAGACACAGAGGTGACTATCCATGAGTGATGGTTACTGTCACCTTAGCACTATTAACAAAAAAAGCCAAATAAAGGGCATAGAAGGAGAATTCAAGGAGTTTGGTACCTTGAATAGAAGAGTTTGTTAAAAAAAAAAAAAAAATGGGGCAGTATGGTGTCAAAAATGATATCAGACAAAAACTCAAACTAGAGACACAGCTCCTAAAGGAATCAGCTATACGACCTTGGGCAAACAACTCAATCTCTTTGGGCCAACTTCCTTTTTTTGTAAAATGAGGCATTTACGCTAAATGATTCAAGGGTCCTTCCAGTGCTAACATTCAGAAGGCAAAATGACTTTGGAAGAAAAATGCCACGAGAAGGCAGGAAATCCCTGAGGACGGGGTTGACTCAGGGATCCATCATCCGGTAAACCAAAAAGGCCACTGAGGTAAGACATACAGAGCAGTCGCTCCCCAAGGACTGGTGCTGGTTCAGAGACCCTTACTCTATCTCTGAATTTACTTGTCTTCAGGTCTGTCCAGACAAACAGAGCTCCGTAAATTTTCATGTTGCCCAGGTTTATTGAAGAGCCAAGCAGAAACTTCAATTATTGTTGATTGTGTTTCAAGCAGTGTCAGAGAACTCCTTGAGGCATGAACAATGAAAATACCCTCTTTTTTTCTATGACTTATACATTAATCTATATCTGCTTATTTAGATTACATCTGTCTCTTTTAAAATGGTAACAGCTTTTCATCTTTATCTCTTGCATGTGCACACTTGCTCACTCTTTCACTCTTTCCTTTTTGCAGTGGTAGCTTAACAAACTTACAAATTGATAACTGACCATAAACAAACAAATTTAAAAATCGCCTAATGTTAATGAAGACCAGTTGTAATTATGGTGTTGAATTATGGTGTTGATGAGGGATACTGAATACACCATGGACTGCCAGAAGAAAGAACAGATCTGTCTTGGAAGAAGTACAGCCACAATGCTCCTTAGAAAAAAGGATGGCAAGACTTCGTCTCATGTACTTTGCACATGTTATCAGGAGGGACCAGTCCCTGGAGAAGGACACCATGCTTGGTAAAGTAGAAGATCGGCGAAAAAGAGGAAGACCGTCAACGAGATGGATTGACACAGTGGCTGCAATAATGGACTCAAACACAAAAATGATTGTGAGGATGGCACAGGACTGGGCAGTGTTTCGTTTTTGTTGTACCTAGGGTTGCTATGAGTTGGAACCAACTCAATGGCACCTAACAACAACAACAACAACAGTTGTAAGGAATTAAGCAAAGCTTGAAATAATTTATTACCTAATGTGCCCCTGGCCTAAAAAGCACTAAAGTTAATGTCCTTTTTCAGAAAAAGGAAACACTTTTACTTTTCAAAGTATTCTAAAATTAAAAAGGGAATAAGAATATTCCATAGACACAATCTAATAATAACAGCTGGATTTACAACTCCTATTCAGTAGGAGAGTATCTGAGACCCAGAGTTTATAAGTTAACAACTTAGTTTACACTTCTGTAGCAATACACTTGAATAGCTATGGTGTCAAAAAAATACAAAGTGGAATTTTTAAGGCTTCTTTGCCAGAAGCTAAGACATCGCAGAAGAGTTGCCCCCATGGATTCCCATCTGCCATGGAATGTGTCATACTTGGCAAGGTAAGCAGTAGCTCAGCTTGGACTTCAGGAGCTGGGGCCAGAATCTACAGATTTCCACTCAACCCAGCTTTCCAAAGGTCTCCAGGAGCAAGAGTCAAGAAAGCCTTGGATATCACTAATCCAAGTTCTTCTCTCCTTTCACAGCAGTGCATTATGCCTCTTTTGGGTGGAGCAGTGGTTAAGTGCAAAGATTCTGAAGCCAAACTCCCCCCACCCCATACACACCCCAACTAGCTGTGTGGTCTTGGGCAATATGACACTTTGTTTCTCAAGCGTCCTCACCTGCCAAATGGGAATAATCATAAAACATGCCTCCTAGGATTGTTGTGAGATTAGACGATATGATATGCTTAACAGTCTTTCCATAGTGCCAGCATCATGTAAATAGCAAGTATCTGTTTGCTCTGCTGCTCAATGGAAAAGTCACATCCTTGCCTCTATTTAGTTTAGGGAGTGATCAGATTAACTTTTCAGGTACCAGTGAGGACTTTATATGTGAGAGGTAGCATTGGTCACAAAATGAACAAAAACTATGCAGCAGCAAGTCAACACCCTGGGTTTCAGTTCTGTGAAGCAGATGTACCTAGCAGCATTTATCTCAGAGACCAGTCTCTCCAAAAACAGTTTCCAACCACTGGGTCTGTTGTATGTACTACCTCTGGCTTAATCATTAACACTTTATGACAATTTAACTCTGGGACCTCCAAAATATATAAAATGACCTCTGATTGCCTGACAGGTATTCAAAAGTTTATCTTTCTAAATGAACAACAGCATATAATGAATCCCTTAAAAGCAAAGATCTGCTCTGTTATTAAGAATTTCTTAGTTTGCAATCACTGCTCTATTCTAATGCCTCTTAAAGACATTACAGGAAGACATCCTTTTGTTTTGAGACATTTCTAGAGAAAGCCCATTAAGATAAATGACTGAAATTTTCCCTTATGTAGGTTTTTTTTTTTTAAGACACAGTAGCCTTTTTACCAATTACTAAACTAAAACTCTTCCTACAGAAATGATAGTTAACTGTCAATTTAAAAACAGCTTTTCTAAGCTTTAACACTTTAAGGTGGTTTTAGAAGAATATAGCATCTTTTAAGAAGGATATCTGAGTACACTGTACAGTAACTTGGAAACTTCACTGAAACACAGCAGCTTTGAGAAATCTAAATAAGTTTCATTGTCTTGTTTGTTAAAATAGCACATTAAAAAATATTTTGAAGAGCCAGCAGGATGCTTCTGACAGCTGAGTGGGAGGCTCCTGGCTACAGCGTGTGATGCTGAGCTGTTAGTTCTCTAAGCTAATCTGTTTAGTTAGAAAAAAAAAAAAGGAAAAATAACTGAATTGAAGAGGGGAAAACCACTCACAAGGAAAAATCTGTTCAACACATATAAAAATATTTGATTTACTTTTCCTTCTATACCTGGCTGCTGGCAAGAAGCAAATAATCTCTAAAAGCAAGGGAGAGAAATCCTACTTTAGAAGAAAAGGAAAAAAAAAAAAAAGAGACCCTTTGGCTCCATTGCTGCTTCCTCCTACCTCCACAATATCCCAGCACAGCCATAAAGCTTCAAACGGAAACACAGTTTATAACTGAAATGCTGTGTTGGTCTCACGCTTTATTTCCGAATTTAGTTTTAAAATTTGACAACCAAGACATTTATTTTTCTCATTAATTTCTTTATATTAAAAACTTTACAAAACAAACAAGCAAAAGCTACCGAATTTCATCAAGGTAATTAAAATTCTTACCAGCTACTCGTTTTAACATCTGGTCACTTCTTGCCACACTGTCATCATAATGTTCAAAAAGTGAAAACCCAGCAGGCATGTTCTCTAAAGAAGCGGTGCTCTCCATTGTGGAAAGCAACCTACCAGGGAGAAAACATTTCTAGATAAGTGAAGAAGTTATTAACATACATAATGAAAGCTAAAAACAATTGTTCAAAATGAGTTGGTGGTGGTGGTGGTTTCTATGAGGCCAGGCCTCTAATTGATTCCAAAAAGGATTTAAACTGTTTCAAAGTCTGAAAATACATGTCTAAAGTCTATTCTTAGAGTTCTTGGGTGCAACTGGTAATATTGAAAATTTCGTCCCTACATCATCAAATGGAAACGGTTCTGCCAAATTATGCAGTCTTCAATTTCTCATCTATAAAATTAGTCCTCAAAATTACTACATTTTAATGGTATTGTATTTATTTCCTTAAAGATATAAAGGTTCAAAGCATCTGTAGGATGCCTTGCTATTCTCATCTCACAATTACGCTTCTGCCCACAAAAAACCGAACTCATTGTGATCAAGTTGATTCCAACTCATAGTGACCCTATAGAACAGAGTAGAACTGCCCCATAGGGTTTCCAGGGAGTGTCTGGTGGATTCACACTGCCGACCTTTAGTCTTAATCACTGCACCACCAGGGCTCCATATTATGCTTTTAGTCATTCAAAAAATATTGTTTGCCTACTGCATGTCAGGAACACTGTTCTAGGTCCTGGGGATACAGCAGTGAAAGAGGGTGAACTCTACCCATTCTTAAAAGACTAAACAAGCCACAGTTTATAATTTAACAGCTTTTGTTAAAGACCCTCTTAGCAGGGAGGCCAACAATTAGCACTGGTAAATCCAGATAAAACTTGGATGAAGAAAACAGGATACTCTGAAGGGGAGAGAGAAGGAGAAATTGCAGAAGCATTTATCCTCAGCATGAGGGGCCTCATACTGGATCAGGAGCTCCCTTCTGTGCACCTCTCTCACACAGGACTGGTACTATCTTCCAGCAATCAAGTCAGCAGCGAGGAACTGCACTGACTTCATCACTACAGACTTTTTAGTTCTCCCAGCACAGATCCACCTCAAAGCCTTTGCACTTAATGTTGGAATCTTCTTCTCCCAGATATTTGTATGGCTCCTTCCTTTGCTTGACTTATATCTCTGTTCAGATGGCAGCTCCTCAGAAAGGCCCTCCCTGTGTCTGCTACTAATACAGCACTGTCCTCTCTTACCCTTCCTCTGCTTCATTTTACTTCCTCAAACTTACCACACCAGTTTGTTTTTTGTCAGGCTACTTCACTAGAATATAATCTACATGCAGAAAGAGATTTTGTTTTGTTCACTGTTGCATTGTAATGTACTACTTGGTGCATAGCAGCGTTTAATCAATATATTTTGAGTGAATAAGAGGCCAATAGCTTCATGTGAGTGAGAAAATCAGGATCTCAGGACCAGTAAATTTTTGGTCAGTATGATGGAAAAATATTATAAGATATAATTCAAATATTTAAAGAGTGCCCACTATGCATACCAGTGTTAGGAACCATAAAATTTGCCATCACTGATGGAAAAACTTAGGAACAGACAAGGGTGGTGGCTGAACATCACGATGAACATAAGCTAATGTCACTGAACTGTGCATGTGAAGACTTTTGAAATGGCAAATGGTTCATTACATATATATTTACCACTATATATATATATATTTTTTTTTTTTTAATTCATCATCATCTGATTTAGGGGAGAAGATTTCAGGAGGGGCTCCAGAGAGGTGACATTTGGGCTGCATCTTACAGAATGAGTAGGAATTTCCTAGGCAGAAAAGGGAGTAAGGCTGTTGCAGATGGAAAGAGCAGCATGAACAAAGGCATAGAGATATGACAGAGTAACTGGGGGACTCTTGGGAGTTGGAGAACGGGAGGGTTAGAGATGAAAATAAAAAGGTGGTGTGTGGCTTGACTGTGAAGAGCCTTTCACATCCATTGAGAGTTCTTATTTTATCTTTTAGGGCAGGGAAAGCCATGGAAGTGTTTACACAAGGGAAGTTGAGAAGAATACCCTGGCAAGAGTCTAAGGAAGGACCAGAGCAAATAGACCAAAGAGGCAGCAAGGACACCGTAATGGTCTAGCTGAGGGAAGACACTGTGAGCCTGAATGAAGGCTTTGGGGATGCAGAGGGTGCAAAGAATGGATTCAGAATTAACAAAGAATGGTGGCCAATACCTATACTAAGCACTCTCAATAAACGTTACTGACTAAATGGACAACGCTTTGTAGCACAAAAGTTGCAGATACCACAAGCAAAATGTTTGAGATTTCCCTGTGCACTGACCTGTTCAGTTTTAATATTGGTATATAAAAGGGCAAGTGGGTATCTTTTTATGAATAGGTCCTACAATGATGGCAACTCTCTTTTTAAAATTATTATTATAATACAAAAGAGCAAATGGAGAAAAAAATGCATCCCCTTAACAGAACAGTATTTTCTAAGCAAAAGTGTTTTTCAAGATATGCAAATTTTTAGTCTAAATATGCTTGACAGCATTCCTTAATTTAAGCATTTTTAATGTTGAGAAAAATATGAGTATTTGATATAATATGAAGGCAGGGAGAAGAAGAAGAAAGGTAAAATAAACTAGGTAATTAGCACTTCTTGTAGAAAGGAACATCATTAACTTTGAGACTTTGAGGCAGAAGTTGCGTTGAGGACATGAAAGGCTTCCTTTTAGGGAAGCAATCAAGTTTCATCAGGGATGTGTGTGTATATTTGCGTGTGTTTAATTGGGTTTTCTTTAATTGCTCATATTTCTCCCCAGATCCCAGAATTTAGTTGTTTTTTTTTTTAACAGAAAAATAATGGTTATCACAAGTATATTCGCCCTTAGGTGACATGCAGCTTTAGCAAAGATTAAGTTGTTGAATGTTTTTATAGACAACATTTCCTAATTTCTTGAGTGTTTTGCTTTATGAAAGAATAAAGAATTTCTCTTACACGAAGTGTTAAAACAACAACAAAAATCAAAAGAGGAAGATTCATTTAGGTTAGTTAAGAAGAAAGAGAAGATAAATGCATGATTATCTTTTGAAGTGAAAATCAGAGAACATTCCATTAAGATTACATAAGGTCTAAAATTACACAAGGCAGATATGAATGATTCTTTCAAATACTCATATTTAACCAATACGTCGAAGTATCTACAAAACGTCCTGTACTAAGTGACAGGAATGACGGTCTGTGTGAGGTTGTAAATATAGAGCACATCTCAAGGAAGCAGTTAAAAATCTACATTATGATAATTGTTATTGAACTAAAGTACATGCAATTAATTCTCTTTCAAAGCTGTCATTTAGCTTTTAAAAAGCACAGTGTCTAAAAGTGAAAATGTAGTAGCTCACTAAATGTATGTATTTTTTCATTGGCAGCTCATTTTCTATAAAGCATCAAGATATTAAAATAAAGCATCCAGTCATGCTAGTCTCAGTAGCCACTACGTTGTGCCGCATTTTATGTACCTTTCATTGATTTCTTCAAACGACTTATGGCAGAAAGAGAGAGAATGAAAAAAAGAGGGAAAGGGAGAGAGAGAGAGAGACAGACCGATTAACACCCAAAAGAAAAACCAGCCAAGAACATGAAGTTTATGAACGTTCTACAAACATTACCCCTCAGCTTCCCCTGAGGCTGTTCCTCTTTGGGGGCTTCAGCCTGGGCAGCAAGGAAATTAGAGCTCAGAATGAAGGTTGGGGTAGAGATGGGGGTATTCGTTTCTAGTTCTACTCTGCTTTCTGTGATCGGCAAGGCCTGCAATGAGTTGCCTAACCTCTGCTTCTCTTTATTCATTAACAAAATGGTTTAGTCTCTAGAATGTAATTCTCTGAAGCAAGAAAAATGACTTAAACTTGTTCAATGTGGGACAGACACCAAAAACCTTATCAGTAGTTATCTTTGGGTGATACCTTCTCTGTGCTTTTCTGTATTTTCCAAATTTTTTCAAATGGATATTATTACTTTTATAAGCAGAAAAAATGTTCTAGAGAAAAGGAAATATTCTTATCAAACAAAGGTAAGGTTCTTAAGGAACACAAAGCATTTTATTAATGTTATGCTTTATTTGGTAAGGTGAGCCTAATTTCAAAATATTAAAGCTTTGCCTTAATTAAACATAAAGCAACCTGATGATTTTAGTTTTCCTTTGAGTATGGCCATGTCCACCTCATCCAAATTTGCTCTGGCTGGAGGTGTCCCTAAAGGCAAATTAAAAGCCTAACATTGTCCCATTTTGCCTTGCTCTGTCTCCAAACTTCACTAGAGGGCTAGGAGAACTGGGGATCTTCAAAAGGGAGATCTCACTCATCATAAGATCATGTTTTCCTCCCATTTCCCTGGCTTAGCTTTGGGCCAGGTTTGGAACTACCTTCAGGGAAAACAGCTCTATGACTCCTTGTAATCCTGGCTCCATGGAGAACCAGCATTTTCCTGAACATTCTAGGAAACTAAGGCAGTCAAATTAAGGGAGCAATTTGATAAGCACCCAAGGGAATCTACCTCTGTTCACTGTTAAATTGTTTTAATTAAGGAATCCTGTCCCGGGAAACCCCCTTGTAAAAGCACCAACATATTACCTGAGAGAGGTACAACACTATGTCAACACTATAAACCAAAACCAAACCCACTGTGGTTGAGTTGATTCCGACTCATGACGACCCTATAGAACAGAATAGAACTGCCCCATAGGGTTTTCAAGGCTGTAAGTCTTTATAGAAGCAGACTGCCACAACTTTCTCCTGCAGAGCAGCAGGGTGGATTCAATCCACTGACTTTTCAATTAGCAGCCAAGCACTTTAACCACTGCACCACCAGAGCTCCTATGTTATCATTATTAATGTACCAAATTACTCTCAGCCACTTGGCAAGGCTCAGAGAGAATGGTCTATATGAGAGGTAACTTCAGATTAGGGTGGAGTGGACAGGCCCAGGGACCAGTGTGAGGACACCAGGCACTAGATGAGGTGCTGGCACTGAAGGGAAGACATGGGAATGGATAAGGTTCTAGAGGCTGCTTTCTCTCCCTCTTGGGAGTGACCAATACTGCATGGCAGATGGAATGGGATTTCTTTCATGATGATGCTGTGGCCTGCCTTCCCTTCCATGTGTCCTTCAGCTGGATCTGGGCATCAAGGTTGTAGGAATTTGCTAGCCTTTTCTATAGGCACCAGGCATGACCCAGTAGTTTTTAAATGTCAGAATCATATAAACCCTGTGCAGAGATATAAATGATTTTAGAATATTGAGAGATGAATTTTTCAAAGTAGACTTTGGCCAGAGTGGGCTCCACTGTGTTTGGGCCTGTTTTAAGTGTGCTTACAGTCAGGAAAACAGTCTCGTCTAGCTCCTCCGCTTCTCTGACAATGGTTTCCAGGGTGTCCTTGGCAGTATCCATGCTCTGCAGGAAGTGGACCATCTGGTCATGCAGGAACTCCATCTTCTTCTTCTTTACTTCCTCGAAGCTCTGGGCCTTCTCATCATACTGGGCTAAAACCTTCTTCATCATTTCCTCATTCTGTTCTTCTAGCTTTTTCTCATTTTTGCTACAGTTTTCCTGAAAAAAAGAAAGAACACTTCTGAATGAAACAACTGCTTTTTTTTTTTTTTTTTTTAAAGAAACACCAGCCTTTCAAAGAACTGAACTCTGGTATCCTGATAAGAGAATCTCACTTCTCTAAGTAGCATTAAATGCACAGCCTGAATTCCCAACCCAACCAATATCACTTTGCCATAGTCAGCTTTGCAACAGAATTAATTGACTGTAAGAATATCATCAAAGAAGATTTAGTGTCTGAAATACAAAAAAAAAAACAACAACAAGATATTTGCATGGAAGTCTTACTTGAAAACAGCATCACAGTGAGCGAGAATCCATGACCTTCAGGTATTGGAGAGGGTTTACTGCGGTCTTCTCTGCTCTACTGATGTCATGGTGTGAACAGGGGAGCAGCCAAGATATTGAACAGGGTGCTCCATTCACAGCTGTTCTTCAGGGAGGGGGAAGCCTCACTGTAATAGGAGGAACTGTACTGCCCATCTAGACACACCTAGAGGCCTGGCTACTCTCACTAGCAGGGCTGGTGATAAGATGATCATATAGTTTACTATTTAAAGGGATACTTTGGGGGAGTCTCTAAAAATAACTAACAGGTGTTAACTGATCAACAACAGAAGTGATACAGACCTCTCATAAGCACACCAGAATGTGAAGTCACCCTAGTGGTAAGGGAATTGTGCACCAGCCTTCTGCAGTGGCCTTGGGCCCTCTACCACTCCGCGATTGACAGGTGAAGATGACTGGGCCATCTCCATATGTGGATGGAGCACTGCTACCCCTTTCCTCACTGCGGAGGGGGCAGGAGCCAACAGCCAGGAAAGCATGAACTCAGAAGAGACAGTTGTACCATGAGAGACACTCATTTGTCCTGGGCCCGGGACACAGGGCAGTGACTTGAGTGTTTCTGCAGAGCCAACCAGCGAGAGCCAGGATAATGGAGTAAGAATTTAGAACTGGATTTAAACCTTGGGTCTCAATTTACTATCAATTTTCTATGACTTTGGGCAATATACTTAACTCTAAGCCTAGTTTCTTATCTATAAAATGAGAACGATAATAATAACACCTCTCCTGTAAGGTTATTGTGAAGATTAAATTGGGTAAAGTGTATAAAGCATTTGTGCCATCGTAATAAATGCCTGATAACATGTGTGTGTTTTTAAGGGCAAATCTTTAATCCTTAAAACAGAAAGCAGTCTCACCAATTACACTCGGGTAAGACTTTTTTTTTTTAAATTGTGGTCAAAACATATGTAACAAACATTTGCCAACTCAACTATTTTTACATACATAATTCAGTGACATTGATTACGTTTATCATGTTGTACAATCAATACCACTACCCTTTTCAGAGGGAAGACTTTAAGGACTCTTATTTGTAATGGAACAAAACCAACAATGGCAAACACACACATGAATGCACAACCCCCAATTCAGATCCTTTTAGTTCAGAATCATTTACTTGTGATACCAAGAACAAGCCAAGCTAAAGTAAAAGAGATACAGCAACTTACCTCAATGGTATTAAAAAAGGACTCTATCTCACTAACAAAGGCTTCAATCCTCAAGGACTTTTCTTGTAAATTTTCTAGAAATTCTGCTAATTGAACCTAAAGAAACAAAAATTGAGATATCCTAAGTATATAACATTTGGGAAACAAACTTCAAGCAGTGAGCTCCAATTTCCTTGTAAATTTAGTATTTTTGGTGGAGAATTACTATACCATATTCACTAACAAATCAATCTTTACATTTTCTTTTTGGCTGCATGTAAACTGATAGCAGATAATTTTGTGTGATAAACAATTAGGAGGTTTATGAATGAGAGTCCCAAGCAACTTTACAAAGATAGTTTATCGTCTCGTGCAAGAGAAAGAACTTCTTGGTAAGTTAGTGAGCTCAAAGCACACTCATTTTAGTGAACTATAGATCTGAAGTCTCTCTCCTGGATAAGGTTTGGATTTTTATACATGGCTTTTTTTCTCAGATAGCAGCCTTTTTGCTGAACTGGCCCAACATACCTGAGTAGTTTCTGTACATTTTCACCAATGACCTCCAGTCTCAAGGCATGCCTGGGGGACCTGACCCTCAGAGGGTGATTAGAGTGCCACTGGGCCATAAGTCTAGCATACCAGATGATGGAACTATCTACTAAAGGGATTGAAAAGTTCTAACAATCCTCAAAGTGTTAAAATACTCAACGGGTGACAGCCAACTAAAAAATGTATAGGATAAGAGAGGAGCCATAGTTATAAACCTAGGTGTAGTCTATCTTGCTAAACTTAATAAGTAACAAAAACAATAACAGCTTCAGATGATTGATTGACTATGCACAGAATGATGAAGATGGTTGCAAGCCCCTTCAGGATCTGGCCCCTGTTTCCCTTTATAGCATTTATCTCCAGTCACATAAGCACCCAAGGCTCCAATCACACAGGCTCCATCTTTCCTTGAACGCTTTCACATCTGTGTGCCTTCTCATATGGCATTTCCTAGCTTTAGAATGCTCTCTGTGCCCTTGACTGTCAGAAGAACTCTCTCATTAAAGGCTCACCTGAGCTTCACCTTGCAGAGAAGTCTTCCCTAACCCTCCTTCTTCCACTCCACACATTTCAGGTTAGTTTCTTAGGATACCATGCTCTCACAACCCTGTACTTAAATTTGGGATCTACAGATTTAATTTTTTTATTTTTTTAATATTTGATTGTACTTCAGGTGAAAGCTTACAGAACAGATAGTTTCTCATGTAACAGTAACACACATGCTGTTTTATGACATTGGTTAACAACCCCACAACATTTTAACCCTCTAAATTCTCAACTTTTTTTTTTTTTTGGTGGAAATACACATAGCCAAAGATACGCCATTTCAAAAATTTTTTTTACATACACATTTAAGTGACATTGACTACGCTCTTCTAATTGTGCTGTTATTCTCACTTAAGATGAAGGCTTACAGGACAAAATAGTCTCCCATTTAACAGTTACTACAAATGTTGCCCTATGACAATGGTTAACAATCTCACAACACATCAACAGTATCCTTACTCTACTTTGTGTTCCCTATCATCAGCTTCCTACTCCCCTTCTGCCTTCTGGGCCTTGTCACTGGACTCCTGTACCTCGTTACTCTCATGGTTTTACTGGGCTGTCCACTCCCAGGCTGAACAGTGAACCTCGAAGGTAACTTCACCACTGAGCTAAAAGGGTGTCTGGGGGCCATACTCTCAGGGTTTCTCCAGTCTCCTTTAGGCCAGTAAATCTGGTCCTTTTTTTTTGTGAGTTAGAATTATGCTCTACATCCTTCTCCAGCTCTGTCCAGAACCCTCTGCCGTGACCCCGGTCAGAGCAGTCAGCGGTGGCAGCCGGGCACCTTCCAGCATCTACAGATTTATTTTTAAATTTCTTCTTTATATATATATATATTCTTTTCATTCTCAATGATTAGCATGGTTCCTCACACAGAATGTTTTTGTTGTGTGCTGTCGAGTCCATTACAACTCACAGTAACCCTGTATCAGAGTAGTACTGCCCCCATAGGGTTTCCTAAGCTGTGATCTTCATGGGCAGGAGCCCTGGCAGGAGCCCTGATGGTGCAGTGGTTAAGCACTCAGCAGCTAACCTAAAGGTTGGTGGTTGGAATCCACCAGCCTCAGGAGAAAGATGTGGCAGTCTACCACCGTAAGGATTACAGCCTTGGAACTCCTATGGGGCAGTTCTACTCTGTCCTCTAGGATCACCATGATCGAATCGACTTGATTACACCATATTTTTTAATCTTTATGTGAGCAGATCGCCAGGTCTTTTCTCCCACAAAGCCACTGGTGTGTTGAACTGTCACCTTTCAGTTAGCAGCCCAGTGCTTAACCTTTGTGCCACTGGGGCTCCTTTTGCACAGAATAAAAAAAAAAAAAATCAAACCCATTGCTGTCGAGTCAATTCCGATTCATAGCGACCCTATAAGACAGGGTAGAGCTGCCCCATGGGGTTTCCAAGGAGCAGCCAGTGGATTGGAACTGCTGACCTTTTGGTTAGCTGCCATAACTCTTAACCACTACACCACCGGGGTTTCCTCACACAGAATAGGAGGTGATTAAAAATTGAGAAAAATGGAAGGGAGTAAAAGAAAAAAATTGACAGCCAACAAAACAGAAGTTACCACAGTGAGGATGGCTGGGGAGGAGAAGCAAGGACCTAAATAATATGCAAATACAGCAATCAATTCCCAAATACTTACAGATGGCATACCCAGAAGATGCTAGAGAATTCTCAAGTTACAACTTTGAAAAACTAGTTTCTGTTTTTAAAAAGTTGTCAACCAACCCACAGCTGACTTAATGAAATGAAGCAATCCTCCTTGACTTTAGTTAACCGAGTTTTCACTTCCTCCTTCTCTTACTGGTTAGAGAAGATCAGAAAAACAAACTTTAAAATAGTTTTAAAGCGGGAGGTATCATATCTCCTGATTCTGAAATTTGTTTTAAATTAACAAATATTTATACATATAATTGTTTTTAATGTATAAATTTCATAAAGAGAAAGCATAATTTAAAACGCTAAAAAACAAACAACAAAAAATCCCAGCCTCCTTCTTTCTAACGGTGCCCAGTCATGGTTAGTTAATGAAACCAAGTGTCAGAATGGAGTCTACTCTCAAAGAGCTATCAGGTAAAGTTGCAACAAAATCTCACCCTAGAGAAATAGATCCAATATTAGACAAGTGGAAAAGGATTAATACGGTACGAAAAAAATGTCAAGATTCTAATTGAATCTTGATTCCTATTGAGTCAATGTGAGCCTGACAATTATTTAACAGTGACCTAACTGAATAATCATACTGAAAATTGCCAGCATTAGCAAGGCACTAAGCTGAGCAAAAGGAGTTCTGGTGGCACAAACGGTTAAGCAATGGACTGCTAACCAAAAGGCTGGAGATTCAAACCCACCCAGCGGCTCCATAGGAGCAAGACCTGGAGCTCTGCTTCCATTAAGATTAACCCCATTGCCATCGAATCAATTCCGACTCATAGTGACCCTATAGGACAGAATGGAAACCCAAAGGATTCCACGGAGCCCTGGTAGCTCAGTGGTTAAGAGCTCGGCTACTAACCAAAAGGTCAGCAGTTCAAATCTACCAGCTGCTCCTTGGAAAACCTGTGGGGAAGTTCTACTCTGTCCCATGGGTTTACTACGAGTCAGAATCGACTTGACAGCAACAGGTAATCTTCACAAGAGCAGACTGCCACATCTTTCTCCCATGGAGCCGCCGTTAAGATTACAGCCAAGAAAACCCTATGGGACAGTTCCCTGTGAGTTGAAATAAACCTGATGGCACCTAACACAAAGCTGAGCAATATGGATGCACAGTCAAGGGCATGGGCTCTGGTGTCAGACGGCCCTGGGTACCAACCGTGTTCTGTTTGAGCAAATCACTTACCCCATTTCATTATCAGAAAACTGAAAACAATGATGGGGTTATTGTGAGGATTAAAAAGATATCCTGTACATAAAGAACTTAACATAGGCCTGGCACACAGTAAGTGCTCAATTCTAATTATTATTTGAATTTGAAGATTATTCCAGTTGCTATATGGAGAAAGAATTAGCGAGGCAAGAGTAGGGAAACCACTTAGAAGGCTACCGAAAGTTAGATGGAAGTCTCAGACACTAAATGCTTGATTTCTGATAGCATCTCTGGGGAAGTAGAATATTTCTAATCACATATTCATGGATATCTGTTATAATTAACGTTTTGTCTGGAACTTTGGGGGTCCTATAAATAGTCAGAAAGAATGCAAAGTTTTTCAATTTCTAACATAAATTTTATAAATAAAAAGAAATTATGAAGAAAACAGAAAATAAGCTGTCTTACTCTCTTGGGTACTTATATAAAACTTGCACTAAAATTGCTCAATGTAATATAAATACATATTTTTTAATTTTATTTATTTTGTTGTTGTTGAGAACATATACAGCAAAACATATACCAATTCAACAGTTTCTACATGTACAATGACATTGATTACATTCTTTGAGTTCTCCAACCACTCTCACCCTCCTTTTCAGAGTTGTTCCTCCCTCATTAACATAAACGCACTGCCCCCTAAATTTCCTATCTAATCTTTTGAGTTGCTGTTGTCAATTTAATTCCATATAAATAGATCTTGAAAGAGCACAATGCTCAAGGTAGACATTCTTTACTACTTAAGCTAAACTACTGTTTGGTTTTAAGAAGACTTCAGGGGATGAATATTTTTGGTTTAAAGATTATCTCAGGATAATAGTTTCAGGGATTCATCCAGCCTCCATGGCTCCAGAAAGTCTAGAGTCCATGAGAAATTTAAGTTGTGTTCTGCCTTTTCCCCCGTTTGATCAGACTTCTTCTACAGAATCTGTGACCAAAATGTTCAGTAATGGTAGCTGGGCACCATCCAGTTTTACTGGTCTCATGGCAAAAGAGGCAGTTGTTCATGGAGGCAATTAGCCACACATTTCATATCCTCCTCCTATTCCTGACTCTCCTCTTCTTTTCTGGTCCAGGCTAAATATGTATTTTTAAAGGATGATATTGTAGATAATAAAAAAATAAATTGCGTTTTATGCTCAAAATTATATATTTTTAATTTAAAATTATTTGGCATTTCCGATTATGTTAAGGACTTATTGCCATAAGATGATAAGCCCCTCAAAGAAAATGTTGTTGTTAGGTGTGATCAAGTTGTTTCTGACTCATAGCAACCCTGTGTACAACAGAACAAAGCACTGTCTGGTCCTGTGCCATCCTCACAATCACTGCTATTTGAACTAATTGTTGCAGCCACTGTGTCAATCCATCTCACTGAGGGCCTTCCTCTTTTTCTCTGATCCTCTACTTTACCAAGCATGATGTCCTTCTCCAGGGACTGGTCCCTCCTGATAACATGTCCAAAGTACTTGAGATGAAGTCTCGCCATCCTTGCTTCTAAGGAGCATTCTTGCTGTACTTCTTCCAAGACAGGTTTGTTGGTTCTTCTGGCAGTCCATGGTATATTCAATATTTTTCTCCAGCACCATAATTCAAGGACATCAGTTCTTCTTTGGTCTTCCTTATTCGTTGTCCAGCTTTCACATGCATATGAGGCAACTGAAAATATCTTAGTCCTCAAAGTGACATCTTTGCTTTTTAACACTTTAGAGAGGTCTTTTGCACCAGATTTTTCCAATGCAATATGTCGTTTGATATCTTGACTGAGGCTTCCATAGGTGTTGATTGTGGATCCAAGTAAAATGAAATTCTTGACAACTTCAATCTTTTCTCCATTTATTATGATGTTGCTTATTGGTACAGTTGTGAGGATTTTTGTTTTCTTTATGTTGAGGTGTACTCCATACTGAAGGCTGTGGTCTTTGATCTTCATCAGTTAGTGCTTCAAGTCCTCTTCACTTTCAGCGAACAAGGTTGTGTCATCTGTATAGCACAGGTTGTAAATGAGTCTTCCTCCAATCCTGATGCCGTGCTCTTCTTCATATAGTCCAGCTTCTCGGATTATTTGCTCAGCATACATATTGAATAAGTATGATGAAAGGATACAACCCTGATGCACACCTTTCCTGATTTTAAATCACACAGTATTCCCTTGTTCTGTTAAACCACTGCCTCTTGGTCTATGTACAGGTTCCTCATGAGCACAATTAAGTATTCTGGAATTCCTATTCTTCATAATGTTATCCATAACTTGTTATGATCCACACAGTTGAATGCCTTTGCATAGTCAATAAAACACAGGTAAACATCTTTCTGGTATTCTCTGCTTTCAGCCAAGATCCATCTGACATCAGCAATGATATCCCTTGTTCCATGTCCTCTTCTGAATCCAGCTTGAATTTCTGGCAGTTCCCTGTCAATGTACTGCTACAACAGTTTTTCAATGATCTTCAGCAAAATTTTACTTTCATGTGATATTAATGATATTGTTTGACCATTTTCACATTCAGTTGGATCACCTTTCTCTGGAATAGGCATGTATATGTATCTCTTCCAGTTGGTTGGCCAGGTTGCTGTCTTCCAAATTTCTTGGCACAGACGAGTGAGTGCTTCCAGCATTGCATCTGTTTGTTGAAACATCTCAATTGGTATTCTGTCATTTCCTGGAGCCTTGTTTTTCGCCAATGCCTTCAGTGTAGCTTGAACTAGTTTCTTCAGTGCCAAATTCCTGAAGCAGTTGTACGTCAACCAATTCTAGCTGGTGCAATGACTATGTATTCCTTCCTTCTTCTTTTGATGCTTCCTGTGTCATTCAATTTTTTGCCCATAGAATCCTTCAATATTGCAACTCAAGGCTTGAATTTTTTCTTCAGTTCTTTCAGCTTAAGCAATGTCAAGCAATAAGCTTGTGTTATCTTGGTACCTGTCATGGACTGAATTACGTCCCCCAGAAAATGTGTGCATCAATTTGGCTAGGTCATGATTCCCAGTATTGTATGATTGTGTACCATTTTGTAATCTGATGTGATTTCCTTATGTGTTGTAAACTCTACCACTATGATGTAATAAGATGGATTAGCGGCAGTTATACTGATGAGGTCTACAAGATTGGATAGTGTCTTAAGCCAATCTCTTTTGAGATATAAAAGAGAGAAGTGAGCAGAGACACATGGGAACCACCAAGAAAGCAGTGCCGGGAGCAGAGCACGTCCTTTGGACCTGAGGTTCCTGCACTAAGGTGCTCCCAGACCAAGGGAAGACTGATGCATCACAGGGACCTTCCTCCAGAGCCGACAGAGAGAGAAAGCCTTCTCCTGGAGCTGATGCCCTGGATTTGGATTTGTTGCCTACTGGACTGTGAGAGAATAAACTTCTCTTTGTTAAAGCTATCCGCTTGTGGTATTTCTGTTATAGCAGCACTAGATGTCTAAGACAGCACCCCAGAACCTAGAAAAATGCCTAACACATAATGTATACCCAATAAATGTTTGTCAAACTAATATTAACTAAATGCCTGGGGAAACATTCTGTTTGGTTACAGACTAACTATTTTGCCTAAAGATGAACATATCAAATATTTGTCATTTTAAAAATTGAGAACATGTGAAAGCAAATTTAACCTATACATATTATTAATTATTTAAATGCTTTAAAGTATATTTACCTTTACAGCACTTATAGCTGTGTCAAGCGTTGAAACCTCATGGTCTTTGTGGGTGCCAGATATCTTGTCACTTGCAGAAATTGGGCTTTTGCAAGTGTAACAATATGTGTCAATCTGGGACTTTTTCGGTTCCTTTTGTGCCTTCTCAGTTACTAACTCTGGTGATAATTGGTCTTGTTCTGTCCTCTCTCTGCCGAAGTCTTTCGGTTCAGCAGGCATACTTTGTTCCACCTCCCTCACAAATTCATTTTCACTGATGTGTTCAAAGGATTCCTTTCCTTGAGATAACACATCTTCAGGTGTGGTGTCTGAACACAGTCCTTCTGATAAAATGTCTTCAGTGACCACTTCATAATTCAGAGATTCAGCAAACTCATAGTCATCTTGAACAGGGCTATTGCGGAGCCTAGCTTCTTGTGGCTCAGGCGAGACCATCTTAGGTTCTTCTTGCAGTGTTTCTTGAATGCAAGTCGCACCAGATGCAAATTCTTCCTCTGGGAAGGACACTTGTACTGGGACATTCAGACTGACCTCTGGAGTTGCATCTCCTGCTTCATTAGCCTCACTGCTAGCTTCATCTACTCTCTCCAGGACATTATGAGTGTCTTCAAATGGAATAGCATAGCTTATCTTCTGGGTAACCACCCTGACTTCCTCAGTGACAGGAGATTTCTTCTGCATCTCTACATCATCAAGTGTCTCCACATGACCTACTGATTCTCCTTCCCTGCAAACAGCTTTCTGTTCCTCTTCCAGACTCCTCTCTCCCAAAATAGTTCCAAACCTCCCCCAAATTTCTCCTTCTGCAGCTACCGGTTGGTATAAATCATCTTTGCCAATTGGTTTTTCTTCCAGACCTTGGCCTTCGTCCTTCTGAGTTACAGATGTGTCATGGAGAACGTCATCTTTGAGTATGTACTTCTCAAAATATATTCCTGTTCCATCATCAGTGTCAGAATTTCTGCTCGGAAATGATGCCTCAGAATTCACGCTGTCACCTTCAGAAACTGTCTCCCCTTCCTTCTTTTTCTCTCCAACTGCTTCTTCGTACAGATCCTTGTATAAAAATGCAAGTGCAGGTGCCTCCTCCAAAAGTTCTGGATTAATGAGTTTTGCAGTGGTAGGAAATATCTGAGTTCGTGACAAAACTCCTTCCACTGTATCAAATAAAGGCATCCCTGGTGACTTTGAGTCCACATCTCTATTTAAGCCCTTTGGAGTATCTCTGTCAGCTGATTTTTGGATAACTAAAGACTTTTGGGTCTCTGGGTGAGATAATTTGCTGTGGTCCTTTTCTGGTCCATAAAAACTTTCATCCAATTCCACCAAGTCATATTCACGTTCTAGGGCACTTTCCTCTGCACTTTCTGGGAAAGAGATAGTTTCCTCTGAAACTTCCTTTGAGAATTCCTCTTCAACATGTAATTTCTGTGGCGCCTTCTGTTTTTCTGGGTCTGGGGAGATGTTATAATCAATCAAAGTATATTTTTCAAAATAATCCTCCTCACTGGGAATTGTGGGCTGAATAAAGGCTAAATCACTATTTTCTGAATCTGTGGATATTTCCTCTTTTATTTTATGAGTTTCTTTTTGTTTATTTTCTTTCAATAATGCAACTTTTTCATCAGAAACTTCTAACTTGCTCTTTAATGTTTTATGGCAAGCAAATGCCTCACTATTGTCATGAAGTGATATGGTTTTAAGTGAGGCCTTCTCTTCCAAATATTCTAACTTATCTTGCATTTGTTCACTTTCCTCCTGATCAACTGAAGAAATAAATGCAGGAGCATGAATATTCAATATCTCACAACCTTCGGAAATGATACTGAAGGCACTCTTTTGATCTTCTGAAAGTCCAGCTGGCTTACTAGTCACCGTAAATTCATCTTTTGCATTTGTGTCTCGAGGCTCCTTGAATATTTCTTTAGTAAGAACAGTTTCATCAGTACTGATTGCTGATGCATTCATTATAAATTGAGTATAGTTGCTGCTTTCTAAAGCACGTGGTTCATTTATGTGGACATCTTCCTCAGCCTCCAAATGGTGCTTTGAAACAAAAACAGATTGTTCAGGCATAACAGTTGTATGATCTTTATTTATTTTAATAGTTTGGATTGCATGCCTATCTTGAGTCAATTCTGACTGTGGCTTTTCTTGTTTCTTTGCTGTACTAATTTCTGGAGAAGCTCCTAAAACAAGTGTTTGTGGTTTTACAGATGACAACAAATGTGGTGTTTCTAAGCTCTTTGTTTCATCTAAAGAACTATCTAAAGTCCTTTCAGATTCTTTAAATGAAGATCCTTGCTTAATGCTTTCCTTTGTGATATCTGCTGAACCGCCTTTTGACAGCTCTGACAATGTGAACTGTCCCTTTTCTTCACTGTGACCTGTCATGTCCCTGCTTGACTTTTCCAATACCAGATTGCTCTCCTCAAGTAAAGAGTGGTTATCTAATTCATCACGATAAGGAAGATCCACTGGAATGAAAGTCCTGGTTTTTTCCACCAAAATTTTCCTTTCTTCTAATGGATGTGGCTGAGTGCCTATTGCCTTTGTTTCCCTAATTTCTGTGTGAGCCTCTGAGAGCATAGTTTGTGATTTTTCAATAAATGATGTGACTTTAACTAATGAAAATGGTTGAGTATCATCCAAAGAAAGACTTAAAGAGATATTTGACTCTTCAAGCTTAGATCGGGCTACGTTCATAGAAGAAGGTGGAATTTCCTGCTGCTTTTTTTCTTCTGAAAGTACATGTGACCACTTTTCTCCTTCTTTTCCTTTCTCCTCCTCAGAACCAACAATAATTTTGGATCTTTCTTTGTGGTCTTCATTTTGACAGACTTGCAACATAGCAGCAGCTCTTGATTCTTCTAATTTAATAGGTCTAGATTCATGTGTAACTTGTGCCTTTTGTATTTCATTATTATCTTTAAGCTCTAATGGGGCCAGAGTTTCTTGTGTTTCTGCGATCACCTTCTTTTCTGCCAAGTAATGTGATCTGGTTTCTAAGTTATCTTTCTCTTCAGTTGGGCTAACAGACCTGAGTTTTATTTCCTCTTCAGAAATGTTCAGGGAAGTAGGTTTTGGGATTTCTTTCGTTAGTCTGTCTTCACCAAGATCAATTAAACTGCCTTTTGATTCTTCCACTGGTAAAATTACTGACTCTGGCTTCTCTGATTCCTTTGTGATATTTTTACTTGTGAAGTTGGATAAAGCAGATTTTGGCTGTTGTGGCACCTTATCTACTGTATCAAATGAAAAGAGTGATTTTTCTTTTTGATCATTTCTTGGCTCTTCCTTAAGAATAGAAATTTTCCATGTAGAAGGAGGAGAGATTGCTGGCTTCTGGACTCTTTTACTATCAGTGACATGAAGAGGAACCACACGTTTGGCTTCTCTCATAACCAATTTCTCACCCATGAGGGAATAGGGTTGAATTCCAAGATGTTCCTCACCATCAGCAGAAGTAGCTTCTGAGTTTATGTCCATTTCTTCTGGATACTCTAGGGTTTCTTTCTTCCCATAACCTTCACTAGATGCCTCACCGTTGGAATTTGGCTGTTTTAAGTCTTCTACATTTGGTAAAAATGCGGGTTTTTCGTTAAAGTCTTGACCTTCACTAGGTTTAACTAAAGCAGCTCTAGACTCTTCAGCAGTTATAAGTTTTGTCTCTGGTAATGGATGATCAACTGGTTTCTCAATTGCATTAAAATCAGCAGGGGCAGCTAGAATGGTACCTTTAGGTTCCATCACAGGCACTGCTTTTTCTGCAGATTGACTTGGCTTAGCTTCTAAATCTTTTTTGGCAACTTTGTTATCTAAAGTGCTTGATCCAAAAAACCAATCGGACATCCATGATTTCAAAGATGAAATTCCTTTCTTTCCCTTTTCTTCAGAAAGGACTGGCTCAACTGCGTTTGGCTGCTCAGGCAGCCTTTGCGTTACCTCAGGTGACTCTGGGGGCTTAGGTTCCTCATTAGCTTGGATTGAGGAGATGGGTTTTCTTTGTGTGGGTATTTTCACTGTAGATGTATCATCATCTACAACCTTTGATTTAGCCATTTTTGATTGTTCTAATGGCTTCTCTCCAGGTAAACGAGTTGTGGTGCTTTGTGCTTCTTTTTCATTACTTGGGGGAGATTCTGCATCTGCTGCTAGCAAATGGGCTTCTTTGGTGGAAGAGGGAATTATTTCTGACTTGATCTGTTCTACTGATGGGCCAGAAACTGGTTTCTGGAGGATTTTTTCAGAAGACTGTTTGATTTCTTCTTGGCTGTCCTCTTTGCAAGGCCTGGAAAATTCTGTGCTTGCTTTCTCCAATATCAAACTTTCACTCCCCACAAGAGAATGAATCTGCTCTCCCTCTGCTACATTTCTGTCTACACTTCCAACTGAAACTATAGATTTTGGTTCTTGGGTCAGCTTTATTTCTTCAAAAGAGTAAGTTTCAGTTGTTAGTGCCTCTACATTACCACTGGAGCTCTCTAGAGTAGATACTGGCTCTTGTAATGATAAAAGAGGTTCTCCCACAGAATGTGGCAGAACTTGCTCTCTGATTTCATATGTATGTTCTTTATCTGACAAAGCAGCCTTAAGGTGCCCTGTCATCAGGCCACTGCTGCCAGAGGAATCCTGCTGCACAGATCCTAGGATTCTTTCTTCATGATGACTGGGCAAATCTCTTTCTGGCTTTTCCAGCATCCAATTTTCATCCTTTGGAGAAATAAGAGGCTCTTTCATTTCTGTTTCTTTAACATCTGTCAACTCAGTTGTCACAAATGATTTTGATTCTTCCAAAGGCAAATTTTCTTTCATAAAGGAAAGTTGTTTACTGCCTAGATCTTGTTTATCTGCAAAAGAGCTGCTTACATCAGGCGATTTGGCAGCTTTATCTGAATAAAGTGCTTTTCTGGGCTTCTTTTGTTCCACAAGGAGGTCAGAAGAGGGGATCTTTGATGGTTCTGTTATACTCTGGGGTACATGGAAGGAGTCAGGTTGGCAGGTTTCTTCATTTAGTTCAGTTGAAATATCTCCCATCACTTGTGACTTCAAGTCTTCTGTTGGTGGTAATGGGCTTATTTCCTGTTTTTCTTCTTTTTTAAAGTCGGTTAAATGGTTCAATTCCTCTGATAATCCTTTGAAAGAAAATGTATATGGCTGCAGATTTTCCAGATTTTCTCCTTCAGTCAGACAGGTAGATGCTTCTTTTGACCCTAAGCTAACTCCCTTAGGAGAGAAAGGCTCAATTTCTTGATTCTGAGTTTCCTCCCCAATGCACGATGAAATCTCTGAAATTTTAGGCATTGTAGTAGGTGTTGGGACTAAATCTTCTGGCACTAAATTTTCCAACTTGGGAGAAGAACATGGTATTTCCTCATTTTTGCCTTTTGGAATCGTCTGCTTGGACGCAGGAGACACATTTTGTAATGAAGGAAGCTCAGTTTCTTTTTCCTTTACCTCACCATCTAGTTTGGGTGAAAGCAAAAGATCAGGTCCTAATACCTCTGAGGAAGAGTCCTTTTTCTGTGATAAAATCAAATGTTCAGAGTGAAGGACTGCAGAAAATGAAAGATCTTGTTCTTTTTCTACCCTTGTTTCTTTAGATATATCTGAATGCACTGGTGAAGATGTTTTGGTTACTGACAACCCAGGTTTAATTTCTTCAGTTTCTACCTTTGATAAAATAGAGTGCTCTGATATAGAGGATACACTTGGAGGTGAATCTAATTTAATTTCCTTCTCTGCTTCTGACCAACATTTGGATGCAGTATTTTCAATGGGAGAAGAAGCACCTTTAGCTGTTATTTTTTCTTCTTTGGGAATTGAATGTTTGTCTATAGATGTTACAGGTGGTGGTAAACCAATTCCTAATTCACTCTTTCCTACTTTTGTTAAGATTGGATGTTCAATAGGGATGGTAACTGGTGAATCTGGTTGGATTTCTTCTTTTGCTAATTTGATTAAACTTGAATCATGCGTAGTTACAGATGCCGTGCTTGTGGAAGAACTGGGTTCAACTTCTTTCTTTATTTCTTCTGGGAAAGCTGAAAATGCTGGTGCGGGTGGACCATATTCAACTTCCTTTTCCACTCCTGATGAAGATGAATATGGAACTTCAGGTGTACCTGTTATTTTAGAATCATGTCTAATTTCTGTTTTCATTGCTGATGAAATCTCAGGTCCAGACAAGAATATTTCCTTTAGAGGTGACTGTGGTTTTATTACTTCAGGCTCATTCTTTGACAACATTCTCTGTTCTAGTTCAGATGCCACAGTTGGAGCTAAATGGGGCTTGACATCCTTCTTTGGCTCATCTACCAACTCAGGCACAATTGAACATTTCATCCCGGACTCTGGAACAGTTGGAGGCTGAGGCTTCATTTTTTGATCCTGTGATACATGTGCTGTAGCTGCTTGAAAATCAGGCACAGTTTCTTCCTTCCTGACTTTCGACAAAGCCATCTGTTCATCTGCAGCTTTTGGAGTGAATGATACTTTGAGCTCCTGTTCTTTCTTAATTGCATGGACTGAATCTGATGATATTGAATACTGAGATGCAGGCACAACAGGTTTGGCTTCTTCCTTTACCATGGATGATTTTGCAGGTAAAGAAGCAGGTGTTGTAGCTACTGATGAACTAATCTTAACTTCTCCCTTCCCTGATTCATTGGTTAAATATGGCGGAATCAAGTCTTCATACTCAGGCACCAAAGCTGCTTGAGTCTTCCGCTTCTGTGCCAAAATAAGATATTCAGATACAGATGTTGAGGTTGTTTCAGCATCTGGTTTAATTTCTACCTTCTCTGCTTTATTCGTTAAGGGTGGTAGACTCAAATCTTCAGGTGCAGACATCACAGGAGAAAGTTCATCTTTTTGTTTCTGTGATAAACTGAGATGCTCAGGTATAGGTGTAGAAGCTGTTGATCCAATTTCTTCCTCATCTGCTTCTGGAAAACAGGAATATTCTGAAGCTGACATTGCAGTTAACAGTGAATCAGGCTCAACTTCATTCTCCTTTGTTTCTGGGACTCTGTATGGTGGGATTGAAACTTGTGATGCTGAGTCTGGAGAAAAAAGTTCAGCTTCTTCAGTGTCTTCATCTGACAAAATAGTATGATCAGATGGTGATGTTAAATATATTGGAGAATCACGCTCTAATTCTCTCTTCTCTGCTTCCTGAGTTGCATAGGGTGAAAATGAGAATTCTGACGCAAAGGCAGAATCTGGAGAAAAAGGTCCAATGTCTTCTTGTTCTTGTTCTGGTAAATTCATGGGTGAGGAGGCACCTTTTAGATTTAAAGGGGATCTGTGGACAATTTCTTCCTTCTGTGACTCCTGTGTTACATGTGACGATACTGAAAATTCAGAAGCAGAGGTGGGAGAGGCTGTGTACCGTTCCATTTCTACTGTCTCCTCTTCTGATAGGACCATGTGTTCAGACGGGGTAGTTGAAGGTGATGGGGACTGGTATTCAGAAGTTGTTTCAGTTGTGTATGGTGGGAAAGAATGTTCGGATATAGGAGCCACATCTGGGAAATATGGTCCAATGTCTTTCCTCTCTTCTTCTGACAGAATCATGTATTCAGAAACACCTTTAGATTTGAATTGGGATATATCATCGATTACTTTCTTTTGAGATTCCTGAGTTTCACTTGGTGGAACTGCATATTTGGAAGTCATTGTTGAATCTGATGTGAAATGCTCACTTCCTATGTCTTCTTCTAATAGGACCGCGTGCTCCAATGTAGCAGCTGAAAGTGGTGGTGACTGGCATTCCAGAGTCCTACTTGTGTAAGGTGGAAGGGAGTATTCAGATACAGAGGACACATCTGGGAAACACGATCCAATGTCTTCCTTCTCTTCTTCTGACAGAATCATATGCTCAGAAACACCTTGATATTTGAACTGGGATATATCACCGATTACTTTCTTTCGAGATTCCTGAGTTTCATTTGGTGGAACTGCATATTTGGAAGTCATTGTTGAATCTGACGTGAAATACTCACTTCCTATGTCTTCTTCTTCTGGTAGGACCTCATGTTCCAATGTAGCAGCTGAAAGTGGTGGTGACTGGCATTCCGGTGTCCTACTTGTGTAAGGTGGAAGGGAGTGTTCAGATACAGAGGACACATCTGGGAAATATGATCCAATATCTTCCTTCTCTTCTTCTGATGGAATCATATGCTCAGAAACACCTTGAGATTTGAACTGGGATATATCATCGATTACTTTCTTTTGAGATTCCTGAGTTTCATTTGGTGGAACTGCATATTTGGAAGTCATTGTTGAATCTGACGTGAAATGCTCACTTCTTATGTCTTCTTCTTCTGATAGGACCGCATGTTCCAATGTAGCAGCTGAAAGTGGTGGTGACTGGCATTCCGGAGTCCTACTTGTGTAAGGTGGAAGGGAGTGTTCAGATGCAGAGGACACATCTGGGAAATATGATCCAATGTCTTCCTTCTCTTCTTCTGACAGAATCATATGCTCAGAAACACCTTTTGATTTTAATGGGGACTTACGGTCAATTGTTTTCTTCTGTGACTCTTTCAATGCATGTGATGGAATTGAATATTCAGAAGCAGATATGGAATCTGGTGTGTAACACTCACTTTCTGAGGCCTCTTCTCCTGATAGGACCATCTGTTCTGATGTGGCTATTGAAAACAGTGGAGACTCACATTCAGAAGTCTTCTCAGTTGTAGATGGTGTGAGAGAGTGTTCAGACACAGAGGCCGTAGCTGGGAAAGAAGGCTTAAAGTCCTCATTCTCTTCCTCTGACAAAACTGCGTGTTCAGATATACCTTTCGCAATGGGTGGAGAAACTGGCTCAATTTCTTTCCTCTCTAGTTCATGGTTCAAATCCTGTGGGACTGAGTACTCTGACACAAAAGCAGACTCAGTAGAAACAGACTCATTTTCCTCTCTTTCTTCCTCAGAGAACACTACTTGTTCAGGTGTTGATGTTGTCACTAATGGTAGAATAGGCTCCTCTTCTTCCTGCTCCACTTCAGGGGCCAAACGTGGCGGGAAGGACTCCTCAGAAACTAACGGACTTTCTGGGTAATTAAGTTCTATGAGCTCTTCTTCTACAAAATTAGAATCTTCAGGTTCAGGGGTAGCAGCCAATGGTAGGCAAGTTTCTTTTTCTTCTTTCTTTGGTTCTCCTAACACTAGAGGCTCAGGAAGAGAAATGGGTGGCTCAGGTGTGTTTTCTTCCTTATCTTCTTTGATACCATGATGGGGAGGGGTCAGCTGTCCAGAGACTGGTTCTGCCCTTTCTAGTGAAGTCAAGTCCAGCTGTTCTTTCTCTGTGCTAAAATCTTCCTGAATGGATGCTGCCAGACCTGGTGAAACTGTCTCCAGAGAATCCTTCTCTGCCTCCAGTGAAATGGAATGGTCAGCAGAAAACACTTCTTCCTTCTTTACTTCATCAGCTAAAGATGGTAAAACTAAAGTGTCATTCTTTGAAATTATAGTTACTTGTGAATCAGGCTTAAAATCTTCCTTTGCTGTTTCCAATAACACAGTTGTAGATATATCGTGTGTAAGAGAGGAAGGCTCTATTTCACAGGTTTTTGCTTCATAGCTTGACTGTTGTGGCACTGACTGCTGAGAGCTGAGTTGTATTTCTTGTTCTGCTGTATCATTACTTGAATAAGATGAAACTGTGTGCTTGGCTACAGATGCTACATTTACTGGTGAATCAACGTGAATTTTCTTTTGATCTTCATTACTGAACAATGAGGTTAAGGATTTTGATCCTTTGGAGAGTGCACCTATCCTGGGTGGAGCAAGCTCTTTTTCTTTATCCTCTTTTATGATTGGGGTTACTAATTTGCCTGTTTTGGAAACTACGTTAGAATCACGATTGCCCAAATCTGGCTCTAGACTAATGGATGCATCCTTCCCTTTCCTATAATGTATTTCTTTAATTACATAACCCTTTGGCAATGTTCCATAAAATTGTAGAGGAATTAATTCTTCTTTAACCGAATTAAACATCTTAATTTTATATTTTACTGTTCCTATGTAGACTGGCCTTAACACTAATGGCTTGTATTCTTTGTATATTGCCCCGGTAATAGGAGGTGTATTGGAGGCAGTTTTCTTTTTTCTCGTTTTATCATAAATACCAATAGATGACTTCTCTTTCTCAATTTTTAGTGCTTGGCCTTCTGAAATTAAAGGATTGTCTTTTGTGCTTACTGGAACATCCTGGGATTCTAAACAATGTCTTTTTTTGTTGCCTTTCCGTCGCAATGATGGTGAGCCATGTTTTGACTTACGTGTTCTTTTCCGAGACTTTTTAACTTCATCCACAATAAATGAAACATTCCCTGGAGGAGAATTCACAGTCGACCCTTCCAAACTACATACACCAGAAGTCTGACTTCCTTCTGAGGCCCAGGGAGTGGAAAACCTACTTGAGTTGGTCTCCCAGGTTATTCCACTATCTTCTCGTTGAACTGTCACCATGGAAAAGGAGGGGTCAGATATGATACACTCCTGTTTGATCTTGCTCTCTTCATCCTGGTCTGATAACCTATAGTAAATAATAATAATAAGTAAATATCATAATTTTACCAGGTAATGGATAAATGTGAGATTAAAATATAGAGACTAATACTGCTATCTGGATCAAAAACAAAGAATTGAAGCCAAAATACCAAATACAGTCACACACTCAGGCAGGAATGAATCAATACCCTCAAAACTCAAAAGAAGTTAAAGCTCAATTCACCACCTATCCTTATCAAGATTGCCGTCATGGTCTCCCTGTGGCTCAGCCAGTCACTCAGGTGCACCCTCTAGTCACCAGGACCTTCAGAATGGCTCTAGCATCTATCCTCTATCTGTTACCACCATCATCACTCTAACTTAGCTATTTATCACTTCATCCCTAAATTATTGCCAGTAGATTCCTACATGGTCACACTTACCTCCTACCCACCTGAACCTCCAACCCATCCTATCTTTCCAGTCTAGTTTTATGAAAAATTTCCATCATGCTACTCCCCTGTTCAAAATCCTCAGTAAATTCTTTATACTTACAGAAGAAAAAAAAAGTTCAAAATCCTTAGCTATCTGCTCTTTATCTGGCCGTATTTCTAAATACCCACCTCTACCCATACATAGTAAAATTCTGTTCCAACTGTATAACTCACTGTCCAGTGAATATTTCATGGAAACTTTGAGTCAGGGTCATAAATGGAAATCCATTATTTAATGTATTTAAAAAAAAAAAAAAAACCCATTGCCATCAAGTCGATTCCAACTCATAGTGATCCTATAGGACAGAATAGAACTGCCCCATAGGGTTTCCAAGGAGTGGCTGGTGGATTTGAACTGCCAACCTTTTGCTTAGCAGCTGAGCTCTTAAGAACCACAAAAAATGTCAGCCTTCTGTGCTTTAATTTCCTCACCTGTAAAACACGGATAATAAATAACAGAGCCCACCTCATGGAGTTATAAAGATTGAATTATTTAGCATATATAAATTGCTTAGAAGCAGTGCCTGGCATGTAGTAAGTGTTCAATAAACACTATCTGTGTTCAGGCCTGCCATACAATCACTGGACGAGAGATCAAGGGAGTCTGGGACTGGTCATTTTTAACTGCTAGAGGTGTTTGGTCTCCTTGGACTGTTCTGATGTCCCCTAAAGAGACAGCTGGCTTTGGCTGCCCCTTTAGTTGCCATTGAGCCCCTGTCTCAGACAATACAGCACTCTTCTTATCTGGACTTTCTTCTGCCGCCTCCTCACTTGTTCTCCTGCTGTTTCCACATCTAGAATGCCGATCCTCATCTTACTCCACCTCCTCTGCATGTCTAAATTCTATCTACTTTTCAATAACTAGTTTAAAACTCTCCACTGTTACCATTCTTCAGCAATTCAGCAGTCATATTTGCCACCACATCATAAATATTAAGTTTAATATTAAAATTTCAAAGGCTATTTCCTCCCAGGAATATGGCTGCAATTTGAGATGATTCCAAATTATTGACTGGTTTTATACTTTTTTACAACAATAAAGACAAAAACACCTCTATGTTAAACCCACCAAGTACAAGTATTAAAGAATTTTAAAAGACAGACAGAATTTAGGTCTTTACAAATCCTTTTTTTTTTTTTTAAATCATCAGTCACTGGACACACTTTAGAATAACTAGTAGGGAGCTTTTTAAAAATACTGATGCCACCCTAGCATCAAAGACCTAAATGTAGGACCTAAAACCATAAAACTTTTAGAAGAAAGCATAGGGGTAATGCTTCGAGACCTAGTCTTCAACAGTGGGCTCTTAGCTATGACATCAAAAGCACAAGCAAGTAATAAAAGACAAAATAAATAAATGAGATATCATCAAAATTAAAAACTTCTGTACATCAAAGGACTTTATCAACAAAGTGAAGAGACTACAGAACGGGAGAAAATTTAGGGGAACTATATCAGATAAGGGTTTAATATCCAGAATATATAAAGAACGCCTACACTTAACAAGAAAAAGACAAACAACCCAATTGAAAAATGGGTAAAGAGCCTAGATATTTCACCAAAGAGGATATATAAATGGCCAACAAGCACATGAAAAGATGCTTAACGTCATTAGCCATTACTCATTGCCATCAAGTCGATTCAGACTTACATTGACCCTATGGGACAGAGTAGAACCGCCTCATAGGGCTTCCAGATGTACTCTTTACGGAAGCAGACTGCCACATCTTTCTCCCTTGAAGCGGCTGGTGGGTTCGAAGCTCCACCTTTCAGTTAGTAGCTGAGTACTTAACCATTGCGCCACCAAGGCTCCTGATCATTAGCCATTAGGGAGGTGCAAATTAAAACCACAGTGAGATACCACTTCACTCCCACTAGGATGGCTAAGTTTAAAAAAGGAAAATAACATGTTGGTGAGGATATGGAGAAATCAGAACCTTCATCTATTGCTTATGGGAATGATATTGGACTCTGGAAAATGGTATGGTGGTTCTGCAAAAAGTTAAATATAAAGCTACCATATAAACCAACAATTTCACTGTTAGATATATACCCAAGAGACTTGAAAGTAGCAATGCAAATAGACACATGTACACCAATGTTCACTGCAGCACTATTCACAATAGCCAAAAGGTGGAAACAACCCAATTGTCCATCAACAGATAAATGGATAAACAAAATGTGGTACATACATACAATGCAATATTACTCTACCATAAAGAGAAATGAAGTCCTGATACATGCCACAACTTGGATGAACCTTGAAAATATTATGTTGAGTGAAATTAGTCAATCACAAAAGGACAAATATTGTGTGATTTCACTAATATGAAATACCTAGAATAGGCAAAGGTATAGAGATTAGAGTTTAATAGTGGTTACCAGGAGTGGGACGAACAGGGAGAGGGGGAAATCACTGTTTACGTAGCATAGCTTTTGTTTATGGGGATGGAAAATTTGGCAACAGATATTGATGATGGTTGCACAACACGATTTATGTAATTTTTTTAATTGTACACATAGAAAATGTTAAATTGGTAAATGTTATATTCTTTATATTTTTACAGCAATAAAAATGTTAAGAAATATGTCAATGCCACCCCATGCTCCTCCCCACAGAGACTCTGATTTAATTGGACTGGGGAAAGATCAGGCATTGCTATGTTTTTATGTTGTAAAAGCTTCCTGATGATTCCAACATGTATCCAGAGATGAAAATCACTGGCCTAAACAATCCTACCTGTCTAGAGACTTAAATAGTGCATGCCTTTCTTGCTTACTCTGAACCCTTCCTGGTTTGTCAGGTTTGGCTGAGGGTCAAACCATGCAGGTAGATTCTATTCCTGTTTGTTATACTGCAGAGCTTATCAAGCGTCACCTACAAAGGGAATATGGATGTGCTGAGATACCAGTCTTCTTCACTCTTAGCACAGTCAGGTGGGACCTGGGGCAGCCAGAGCCCCTGAGCCCCTAGCCTGCAACTGCTAGCAGCCTCATCCATTCACCCCAGTGTGCTATAAATAAAATCATTTTCTATATATGCATATTGGAGTCCTGGTGATGAAGCGGTTAAGAGCTACAGCTGCTAACCAAAAGGCTGGCAATTCGAGTCCACCAGCTGCTCCTTGGAAACCTATGGGACAGCTCTACTCTGTCCTATAGGGTTGCTATGAGTTGGAATCTACTTGACGACACCAGTTTTGGTTATACATGTCATAAATGAAAAGGGCTGAGAAGCAGTAGGAAGAAGTGATTTTTTTTTTCCTGGCAACTCTGCTCTCACTTATTTGCTTTGGTATTAAACTACTGAACTTAATTAGGAATTAATACCTTATCTTGGTCCTGGATTGAATCTTATTTTAAATTATTTTTTTCAGACTCTTTTACATATTAATTAAAACAATTCCTCAGAATTTTCAACTCCTACTGCTCCTTCTCCATTCTTGTAACTTAACAGATATGGTCATTAGATGCTGTCGAGTCGGTTATGACTCATAGCAACCCTATGTACAACAGAACGAAACACTGCCCAGTTCTGCGCCATCCTCACAATCCTGGCTGTGTTTGAGCCCATTGTTGCAGCCACTGTGTCAGTCCATCTCGTTGAGGGTCTTCCTCTTTTTCACTGACCCTCTACCTTACCAAGCATGATGCTCTTCTCCAGGGACTGGTCCCTTCTGATAGCTTGTCCTAAATACAAAAGACGAAGTCTCGCCGTTCTTGCTTCCAAGGAGCACTCTGACTGTATTTCTACCAAGACAGACTAGTTCCTTCTTCTGGCAGTCCATGGTATATTCAATATGCTTCACCAACACCATAATTCAAAGGCATCAATTCTTCTTCAGTCTTCTTTATTCATTGCCCAGCTTTCGCATGCATATGAGGCAAGTGAAAACACTATGGCTTGGGGCAGGCGCATCTTAATCCTCAAAGTGACATCTTTGCTTTTTAACACTTTAAAGAGGCCTTTTGCAGCAGATTGCCCAACACAATATGTTTTTGATTTCTTAACTGCTGCTCCCATGGGCACTGATTGTGGATCCTTTCTCCATTTATCATGATGTTGCTTCTTGGTCCCGTTGTCAGGATTTTTGTTTTCTTTATGTTGAGATGTAATCCATACTGAAGGCTGTGGTCTTTGATCTTCGTCAGTAAGTGCTTCAAGTCCTCTTAGCTTTCAGCAAGCAAGGTTGTGTCATCTGCATAACGCAGGTTGTTAATGACGCCACGTTCTTCTTCCTATAGTCCGGCTTCTTGGATTATTTGCTAAGCATACAAATCGAATAAGTATGGTGAAAGGATACAACAGAAGCAGGATAAAATTAAAAATTAGGGTGATGACGTGTCTGAGAAGTCAGCATTCTGAATGCCCACGATTATAATAGCATTACAAAAGCAATTATAAATTCAATTTAGAGCTAATTATTGATTGTAAATTCAGTGTGCCCAACCAGAGAAGTTTTCATTACTAGCTGGAATGAATTCATGAGTGCTTAGCAGCAAATGCTCATAAGAGCATTTCTTGTGAAATAGTGGCCATAAGAAGGTTGA